GAGACTCGGAGCGGCGGGGAAGATGCAGAGCGGGGCTGTGAGTCCAGGTCCGGCGGCCTGGCTCGGAGTCCCTGTCCCCAGCCACTGTCTCTGTGGCCTCAGAAGTCGTCCCAAGCTGAGACGGGACCCTAGACGGGGACACACATAGGATGGGCACGTGCTTATACCCACTGATGGGCTGCCTGGTGCAGAATGGTGGCAGCCTGAGGACAAAATAATCTTGAGATCTGGACGTGGACGAGCCTTTGAGAAGGTAGAAGGGAGGCCCGAGTCCGTGCTTGCGGGAGTGGGGGCCCGGATGAACCCCTCCCTCCCGAGGAGGTTTCCTGCAGGCTCTGACCCGGTCCTGTGCGCCTCCCTGGCCTTCCCCAGCGCTCTCAGCTGTTTCTCTTCCCTTGCCCACAAACTCAAATGTAAGGGGGTTCTGGCCCTGGCCTGCCGATGAACAGTGGTCGGGACCTTTGAGGAAAGAAAGGGGGCTCAATAGAGCCTTAGCCCCAAAGCCGGAGTTTGGACTGAAAGCAGATGGCCGCAGGGACAGGAGGGAAGGAAACCAGAGGACCAGCCTTGAGGTGTGCCCAGGGATAATCAGCACCGGTGAGCCGAGCCCTGGGACCCTGGGACCCTGGGACCCTGGGACCTAGGGTAGCAGGAGCAAGCCTGGCAGGGACAGCCTTCCTCACTGTAAGAGAGGCCTGTTGCCTACCACCCTGGAGGGGGCCCAGGCCTCTGGGGCAGAGGCCCAGCCTCAAACAGGGAGTGGAGCGTCGGGTAGGATGCCCGCTTGGTTGGCCCTGTCCAGTCTGGCAGGGAAATGGGCGTGGGGGAGGAAGATGCTGACGTCTGAATTCAGAAGTGGAGTGGACCCCGCCATCCCCTCCCTGCTGAAGGGCCTGTCACATGGCTGCGGTGTCTCACACCTGCTTATCAGGGCTGGGGTGTGGAGAGGGTGCCGCAGACGGGAGATATGGCCGGGACAGGGCTGTCTGCACTGGGCCGCTCTGCCTCCCTCATTCGCACCTCCTCAGAGGCCCCTCAGCCCACTTATCCCCTGCGGCCTCCAGCCTCCCCGGGCTGCCTCCCTTCCAGGTGGGCTGCCCTGAAGACAGGGTCTGCCCTGGGTACCATGCGGGGAGTGGCCCTGGAGGCCGTCTAGCCTGCCCCTCGATTGGCAGGTAGGGGAGCTAGGAGGCAGCAGAGGCCATTCACCTAAAATCACACTGCAAGTACACACAGGAGCGGAGCTAGCCTAGGAGCCAAGGCCAGAGCATGGAAGGGTCCGGACTTCAGCCTGGGGGCTGCTGAGGCAGGGCCCCAGGGCCACAGTAAAGGGGGCGTGAGGGACACATTTATCTCAGAGGAGCAGGTCTATTCCAATTTCGGCCTCTCACAGGGAGAGGGCTCAAACGCCTCCCAGTGTTCCAGAGTCTGCTGACCTTGGGTACGGTTGGAGGGCTCCACCTGTGTCTGAATGGCAATAGCAGGCAGGGGTTAAAGGCCCCCTGCGGAGCAGTGGGCAGGGAGGGCAGAGAGGCTGAGAGGGGTACAAAGCACAGGACCTGGGAGGCCAGTGAGGACAGTCAGGGGCCCACTCTGGGTCGTGGTAGGGAACTAAAACATCTGTCATGTCTGGTGGCCTGAAAGGGGCCACTTGGGCCCCAGCCACACCGAGGCCTCAGAGATGCTTTGGAAGCTCGGCAAGCTCACGGCCCCTGCTGGCCACTGTTGCCACAAGGGCAGCCTTAGAGGACATTCTGGCAGAAAGGCCCCCGGCAGCACCAAAGGGAGGACAGTTCATCCTGTGCCTGTGGAGAAACGGGGTGGAGGGAGGGAGGGAGGGTTTGAGGATAATTCCAAGACCCCGGCTCTGGGCAGGGAGAGGGCGGGGCTCCACACCTGCACAAGCTGCAAGACCCAATTTTAGCTCGGCTTCCCCGGGGCCAAACTCGCCAGAGCCCCTGCTCAGCACTCTGACTGCTGCCTCCTCGCTGCTCAGCCTGGCAAGCAGACCCCCGCAGGGCCCGAGGAAGGCGAAGGAGCCCTGGGAACTCAAGTCTGCAGGAAGCGATGCTCAGTACCCCGGTGTGCTACCCAGCTACTGACTCCGGCTCCCCACTGCTGACACCTGTCTGCCCATAGGCACCCAGCCAGCGCCCTGGAGGGGGACTCGCAGACCAGTCCATGTGACTTCCGGCCTCCTTTGAAGCCTCCCGGACAGCCCCTCTCACTGTCCTAGCTGGTGCCTAACTGGTCCCTGCAGGGCACTGACCCACAGCTGTGCCTAAGCCCCTACCCTGCCCGCTCCCAATGAGCACAGTGTGACTTGGGCAGGAGAAGCTCCATGTTTCTGACTTGTTGCTAATTCCCAAACATTTTTGGAGCATGTGCTATTTACAGAATCCTCTGGAAGCCCCAGAAAAGAATCAACCATGTTATTTGCCTGCCTCCAGGAGCTGACAGGGCCTCAGAGGGCTAAGATGAGTAAAAGCACGTCTGACAGAATTGCAGAGCAAATAACCAACAGCCATGCGGAGTGGAAGACAGACATCAGAGTGGGAGCCAGAAAAGCTTCCCAAGTCCTGAGTCGCCGGAGTTTGTTTCTTCACTTGTGAAGTGGGAGAAGTAGCAGCGGTTTGAATGGTCGACTGAATGAGGTCTCATGTGAAGGCACTTTGCAGACTGTGGAGCCCTGACCGGTCACAAGGTTGGGAGCAGCCCTGGGACTGGGGACAGACAGGGCTGCTTCCACCCGGTCTGGTGCCTCACGCCACACTCAAGGCAGGCTCTGCCTCCCACTCACTTGGGACAAGACGACTTTCATCTGTCACTGTCCCCTCCAGCCGCCATGACAAAATAATACCATAGACTGGATGGCTTAGAGACAGAAATGCATCTCTCACAGTTCTGACAGTTGAGAAGTCCAAGATCAAGGTGCTGGCAGGTTTGGTGTCTGACGAGGGCACGCTTTCTGGGAGGCTGTCTTTGCAGTGTCCCCTCACAAGATGAAAGTCACAAAGGAACCCTCTGGAGGCATCTTTTATAAAAGAACTAATCCTATTCACCAGGGCAGAGCCCTGCCTCCTACCACCATCACACTCGGGATTAGATTTCAACACACAAATTTCGGGGGGACCCACTGTCTATGGCAGTAACTGATAATGACTCCCAAGAATTTATCAAAGGGCTCGGCAAACTAAACCTCATCTTAATCCTCAACCTGTCCCCAGACGAGGAACTTGATTCAGAAGGATGAAGTCAGTTGCCAAAGCTGCCCAGCTGATCAGTGGGACGATGGGCTGGGGGCCCAAGTGGCCCGGCTGTGCGCACCCAGAGGTGCGGCAGGCACTGCCTCTGCCTCAGTGGCTCACGGGCAAACTGTGATGGCGCCCTATTCCCGCACTGGGCAACTGATTTAGCGTTTTCCTTTGTTAAGTCATAGAAGAGAACTGAACCTAAAGCATCACATAAACTTGCTGAGTGTGTGAAGCAGGTCACTGTGTAAAATGAATTTTTTTTTTTTTTACCGAAGGGATCTTCCTTGGCTCCACCTTGTTGTGTCAGCGGACGCGTTGCAGGTTTGTTTATCCAGTCTGCAACCCCAAAGCTGGGAGGCACAGCTAACGTGTCAGGTGGCCAAATTGGGGTCATCAAGAATGTGAACTTGCCTGAAGGTGGGCAGAAACTCTTACGAACACTCGGGCATACACAGGACTCCACGGACTATGTGACTGCATGATGGGAGAGTGATCTGACAGCAGATCACGTGGAAAAGCCCCGAGGTGGGGAGCAGGGGCGAGTTCCGCATGAACCAATAGCATATGGAGAAGCGCCGCGTGTCCTTAGCGGGGGAGGTCAGTCCCCTCTCAGTTCAGCACCGCTATCGCCACAGCCGAAAGCTCTGCCCAGACGTGACTGCCACACCGTGAGGGCATGTGAACTCACGATGAAGGGCTGGGATCTGCGGAGGCCTGAGCACAAAGTGAGATGCCCTGAAGTCTTTGGGAGCTTCCTATCTCTAAAGGACTGTCAGGTGAAAGCAGGTGCCAGCCAGCTGTGCAGCCTGGAATGGGCCTGTCATTGGTGGGTAGGAGTTATGGGGGAGGTTTCAGCTTAATCTTATGGAGCTCTGCTGCAAAGGTCATGGGGAACTAAAAGGAGTAAGCTCTGCCTTGATTATTCGCAAGTTCCAAAGATCGCTGGCTGCCCTGGCTGGTGTGGCTCAGTGGATTGAGTGCCAGCCTGTGAAACAAAGTCTCCAGTTCAACTCCCAGTCAGGCACATGCCTCAGGTGCCCGCTGGGTCCCCAGTGGGGGGCACACAGGAGGTGGCCCACACATTGGTGTTTCTCTCCCTCCCTTGCCCTCTCTAAAAAAAAAAACAACAAAAAAAACCTTAATTATTTAAAAAAAAAAAAAAAAAAGCCTGCTTGCCCCAGGACACCTGCCTAGGGAATGTGTTTGGGGAGAGTTGGGGGATAGAAGGGTGTGGTCTGGTTCCTGATGTTGGCTGGTCCTCAGAACCACCAGTGTTCACCGGTGTTGCTTGTTTAAAAAATACAGCTTCTGGCTTCATATCAGATCTGCCGAAATAAACATTTTCAAGGGTGGGACTGGAGAATCTAGATTGAGACTAGACATAATAACAAAATATAATACATGAACCTTGAACAATGCCTAAATTTTTTTTAAGTGTAGCTATTTTGGGAGCACCCAGGCAAATTTTAAGAGAAATTGTTTATTACATGATACTGAATTCTTGGTAATGTTACTAAATGTGATAACAATAGTATTTTTGAAATGTAAGAGAATGACTTTATTCTGAGGTGATACAGACCAAAGTCTTAAAAAGTCAAGTACCGTATCTATACCCTTTTGAAAGCAATGAATTACTTTTAAGTGGCTCGAGAAAAAATAAAGCAAACGAGACAACATATTAAGACAGAGAGCATTCATTGTACTCTTCAAGTTTTTAAAGATTTTATTTATTTATTTTTGGAGAGAGGGTAAGGTAAGGAGAAAAAGCGGGAGAGAAACATCAATGTGTGGTTGCCTCTTACGTGGGCCCCGCTGGGAACTGACCTGCAACCCAGGCATGTGCCCTGAGTGGGAATTGAACCGCAGTTGTTTGGTTTGCAGGCCTGTGCTCAATCCACTGAGCTACACCAGCCAGGCCTTCTTTCAACTTTTTGTAGGCTTAAAAGTTTTCAAAATAAAATTGGGGGAAATAAATGTCAGGCCCACTGGACAAGATAAGTCCCATGGAGCCCGAGAGCCCCAATGTCTGGGGCTGGCTTTGCAGCTTACTGAGCAGAGCGGGAGGCTATCGGGGTGGGTGTGCAGTGGAGACTCGGGCCTGGTGTCCTTCGATGCGGCACGAGGCCACCACGACCCCCAGAGGTCCTGTGTACTCGGGGCCAGCCACCCCTAGGCCGCATCAGCACGCTCAGGAACTCAGAAGCGCACACACCCCATCTCCCCGGCCCAAGTTACACAGGGCCCGTGTCAAAGTGTGGTTCGTCCCACGTGGCACTGATGGCCTCAGCGTGCGTCCCTGGAGGTGGGGCTGGGCTTGATAAAACAGCACTGGGCCCCATGATAACCTCCATGCGGACACCCAGAAAAGCCGGCTGACCAGGGCTGGGCACGGAGGCTGGAGGGACGACTCAGACTGACCACCGAGGAGGAGAGGGAGGGTGCAGAAGGGCCCAGAGTGGGAAGGGCATGCACGTGGAGGTGAGGGCCTGAGCAGGACACAGGGCAGCAGAGCCTGCAGCAGGAACGGGTCAGGGGCGGGCTGCGGATGGGAAGTTTAAGGTCCATGATGTCGAGGTCAATGACATTATGTACAAGGGTGAGACCAGGGAACACTGGTGACAGGGTGGCCCTCGGGTGACTCCAGGAGTAGGGCTGCAGCTGGGCCCAACCCTGCAGGAAGCCATTGCTGAAAGTCTGTCCTGCTGGGCTCCACTTCAAGTCCTGGAGGTTGAGGTCCAAGGTCGGATCCCCTAGCGGGTATTCAGGGGACTGGCTCGCCCACTCTGCCTTCGCCACTTGTGTGAGTCCTGCCTTTGCTGCATACAGTACTGGTGTCACAATGGCAAAGGACACCATCAGAACAGGAAAACAAGACACCTACTATATGGGACAATGTATTCACCAGTGATACATCTACTAAGGTGTCAATGTCCAAAACTAAACAAGAACACATACCACTCATCACGAAAACCCCAGATGACAAAATGGGAGGAGGACCTGAAAGGACACTTCTCCAAAGAGGACGCACAGATGGCCCACAGACACGTGAAAAGATGCTCAACACCAACTGTCAGAAAAATGCAAATTACAACCACAGGGAGGTACCACCTCACACCTGCCGGAAAGACAAAGTGTCAGGGAGGACGTGTAGAAAAGGGAGCCCTCGTGCGCTGTCAGTGGGAATGTGGACTGGTGCGGCCGCCAAGGAAAAGAGTATGTATTTCCCCAAAAGATTAAAAGTGGAACTGTGTTATGACCCAGTGATTCCTCTTTTGGGAATTTATCCAAAGAAACCCAAAACACTAACCTGAAAGAACACACACACCCTTGTGTTCACTGCAGCATCACTGACAATCGCCAAGCTGTGGGGGCAGCCCAAGTGCCCGTCAGAAGGTAAACGGATGAAGAAGTGGTGATACTTACATACCATGAAATATTTCTCAGCCACAAACAGAAGGAAACCTTACCACTCGTGACAACATGGTGGACCTAGGGGTAGTATGCTCAGTGGCATGTCAGTCAGAGAAAGACAGTTTCACTGACATGGGGACTGAAAGAACAAGGGAACAAATAAAACGGGAACAGGCTTGCGGATACACAGAGAACGGGAGGCTGCTGGGGGCGGGGAGCACTGGGGCGCAGGGCAGACAGGTGAAGGGACCAAGGAGTACAAATGGGACATCCGAGAGTCACGAGAAGTCGGGAGGCACAGGAAATCGGTGGGAGATACTGAGAGAACTGTGCGTGGTGCCAGCGGAGGTTCTGAAACACTGAGGGGGACACTGCAAAGTTCACAATTATCTAACCACTAGACTATACCCAAAACCAACATGTAAAAATAAATAAAAAATTTAAAAGGAAAGGTCTGTGGGGGAAGAAAACAATTAGATGCAAATATCTGAAGGCTAGAAAAGTTGACAAGAAAATTGTCTTGCTCTAGGTTGTCACAGAAAAGAGAACGGTGCTAACTGATGGAAAGATACACATGTAAACAAATGTTAAACAAATATTTCCGCTGGAAAGTAGAGGTCATTCCTCTTCTATTACCCACCTCCTTTGTATAATAGCTATTGATCGTTATTTACCTTGTGTCAAACCACTATTAGGAAAAGATAAAACTTGTATCGATGGTTACATAGGAGTAGCTCATTGTCCTCATATCCCTGTAATCACGTTACTTGTATTAAGAACTTCTAGTTTTCTGGGAAAAATATATATATTGATGTCACAGTATCGATCCAGATACCACATCACTGGGGGTAGAGAGGAATTAGGGAGTGAACCCTTCCGCTCAGAGGGGGCTTCAGGCCGCAGAGCCCACCAAGACCGGCCCTAGGTCCCCAGCAGCCTTCCTGCTGACCCACAGACCCTGGAGCTTAATGGGGCAGAAGGCAGGGTCCCAGCGGGAGAATGTGGCAGGACCCCAAACAGGACGAGTGGGTGGCGATTTGCTTGGATCCCATGATGAGGTGCTCCTTTGATCAGGGGGACACACCCACGACGCTGGGAAGAGGCCTCAGGAGTCACTGTCTCCCAGCCCAAGGCTGAAGTGACCTGGTCCAGAGAAAACTTCCGCGCTCCGCCCGATATTCACACTGCCAAGTTTGTTCTGTGGGACTCTTCACTGAGACGGTGAGACACTTCAAACATCACTGTTGTGCACCAGCGAAACTTCTACACGTATTTTGTCGTTAGTTTATTTTGTTTATCAGATTCCTTCTGTAAGTGAGACCACATGGTATTTGTCTTTCACTGACTGGCTTACTTCACTCGGCGTAACAGTCTCCCACAGGCTGGAAACACGAAACAGACTGACAGTGACCAGAGGGGCGTGGGGAGGGGGATAAAGGTGGAAAGAAGGAGGAGGGACTAGACGAGGAACCTGTACGGATGACCCGCGGACACGGACAACAGTGTGGGGACTGACCGTGGGAGTGGGGCTGGGAGGGCGGCGGAGGGCAAAGGGGGAAAAACTGGGACAACTGTAACAGAATAACAATTAAAAATGATTTAATAAAATGAAAAATAAAAACTTCTACGTAGAAAAATGATAGGGTGACTGCGTTTTTTAAATAAGCTATCTCTGTTTTTCACAAGGATGAGGCGGCATTTTTCAAAGTAACCAAAAACTTAAGATACTATAATTTTCTGATTTAAAAATCAAGATTCTCTAGTATCTGGGGGTGAGACAGGAGGAGCAGCGTGGAGAGAAACTCCACACTCTGGGAGCTCAGGTCAGAACAGCACGGGACAGGCCGGGGCACAGAGGGCACGGGTCGCCTCCAGAGATGCCGGGGCGGCCGGAGCGCAAGGCGGCTCCGAGGACACCCAGAGCCTACCACCACCTCGCCGACAAGGAGAGAGAGACAGATTTCTTGGTCACAGTGACATACACGCTGGCTCTTTCTCCGAGCAGAGAGGCTGGCACAAGCTAATGGGAAACAGCATGATAAGAGAGGACGGTGCGATCAGGCTGCCACGTTCTGACCCCCAAGTTCTTTGTTTCCTTACCCCCCAGAATCAGAACAAGCTTCATCATGATCACCTTACCTTCATCTGAAAGCCCTGGCATTTCTGTTAGAGACTAAGTGCCACAGGTCGTCCCGGTGACACACTTGGAGAACAGCACTGATGGGAAGCTCTCAGACAGGCTCCTCTGAGGAGAGAAGAGTCTCCTAAGACACTTCCCTGCCTACACGGAGGAGACCCCTGTTCCGCCCAGGGTGGCGGCGCCCGCCTGTGCGACCCAGCGCACGAGCAGGCACACAAGTGAGCAAATCACGGAGGTGGGTCAGTGGGCACAGACCCTCCTTGGGTTCCTTCATCTCTGCAACATCAACTCGGCAGCATGGGGTCACCTGAAAACTGCATTTCTGGAGGCAAGTAGGGCTTCCAATAAACCCCACAAAGCGACATCCTCCAACTTCCAAGCACCTGTGATTGTTCCTCCCTTAAGGGCTGAATGAAGTCAGAGGCCATGCAAGCCCCTTCGGCTTGAGGACCGACAAGTAGGCTGCACCTGCCAAACAGGCCCCAGGATTGCGGATGGCCATGCAGGTGTGTGTCTGAGTCAAAAACCTGTGTATGGGCATCGGAACGCACCTTGTGACTTCCTCTTGGTCCTGTGCGCCTCATCCCGCGGGGGTGGGGGGGAGTTACCCTTCAGAAGGGTAAGCCTTGGATTTCCTCACTTATTGCCTCAGGAGGACAATGAGGATGGTGGTATTTACCTGGAAGGACCACTGTAAGCTAATACATGTGAAGTAGTCCACTCACTATATAGGACACAGCACGTGGGCAGCAAGTGCCACTGCTGAGTGCTTCTCTGTCACACAAACGGCAGGTTCCACGACAGGAGGGTCAGAAACAGACACACGGGGGGCGGGGGGTGACTGCAGGTGCACACAGGCGAACGCACAGAAGAGTTTCTTCTGGCCTCGTTACTTACTGTTGAACACACCGTGAACCCACGCTCGCCCAGCACTGTGTAGTACCCGTGCACAGGGTAATACCCAGAGGCCGTCTAAAAGCCATCTCTAAGATCGACGGAGGTCCTCGGCAAAGGAAAAGGAAATACCGGGTCCCAAAAACACGCTGAGCTGACACAGGAGATGCTGCTCGGCTTGGAGACGTGGCCATAAAACGCCTCACGCACGATGCATTCCAAGGGACACAGACGCAGTGACGTCTTGTGGACACAGTCCCACTAACCTGACCCAAGAGCAGCCCTTCATCTGCAGGTGCTGCAGTCTCCTTAATAATTAGCTCCCACGGCAAATAAGCTACTACCCAAAACACTTTTAGATCTTTCATCTTTTGGGGAGACACCGAGTCTTAAATGTAGGATCCCATCTTTTTTTGAATAAGCCAAGCTGCCACAGTACGTGACCCTGAGAGGGCAGCCTGCTTCAGGACAGACGACACCACACTTCTGAGGCAAAGACTAGGATGGCTTTCTCCCCGGGAGTCCTGCCTCCTCCTTAGCTTTGAGTTCCTCCAGCTTCTTCTCATAGCAGCCCATGAAGTGCTCATCGGGTTCGATCCCCGCGTTCCTCAGGCTTTCCATCACCTTTTCCAGTCTGTGTACAGACCGGGCTCCCGCAATCTTTCTGGTGCTCAGGTACAGGGTGAACTCCTGGAAGTCCAGGAGCTTGCAGGTGTCCACAGAACAGATGTTCCTGATATCCCCAGTTCTGTCCAGGTGAGGGAAAAACACCAGTCCCGACAGCCTCTCCAGGTCCTGAAGGCTCACTTGGAAGTCACTTAACTGAGGCTGGAAGCCAATGGCTTCATTGGGCACCACGAAGGCCCCCAAAGCCAGCGGCTCGGTAGAGGCGGGGCTTCTGCGCGCCAGGATCACCTTATAAAGGTGTGAAGGGACGGCCACGTTGTCCTCACCGATCACCTAAAAACAGAGCAGCCACATTAGCGATGTTGATCTATGTGAGCAGTTCCCAAATTTTTCCTGAAAAGGCTTTAGATGCATTTCTGAAAATGCGCTTGTAAGATACCCATCCCAATGAATGCAAACTCAACTGCCAAAAGCAACCATAAACCAAGATATGGTTTCACGAAGACAATGTTTAACAGGCAGATTCTGATCGTGTTGTTTGACGCTGCCCTGCAGAGCAGGGGCCGCATTCTCAGCTCTGTCTGTAGGACAAAGGAATGCCACGAGAGTCCCGGGCTTTTAACGAACAAGAAAGGCTGTCATTTCGCTTCGTCTCATAATCAGAACTCCCGGTGTTCCCAACATTGAGAGGTCAGGACTGCCAGCTTGGGCACTCCTGGCTCTAGAAATAAAAACATGGCCTTCGTTTATCAGACTCACTAGAGAGCTAAACAGATAGCCGCCCTCAGAGACGCAGCCGGACACACCACATGGGCGCTCCTATCTTCAGTCTTGCCTGGACTGTGGTCCAGTTTCTAAACTAAGTGAATGTAAATGCTGTTTGTCAGAGCTCTGCACACTCACGGGCCTGCTATCAGACACAGAACTTCCAACGTGTCATCAAATCAAACACTCTAGAAAGGTATCCACACAACGAAGAGGCCAAAGCCAGGGTCAGGCCTGCAAACAACCAACTGGCTGTAATAAAGTAACACTGTTCTGAAACCTTTTCAAATTTCCTTCCAATTGGCTTAAAAGCCATATCTGTTTTCTGAAAAAGAAAAAAATGAGCATCCATTTCCTTAATGGTTTTCGGTAAAACCACACAATCCAACTACGCCCTGTTCTTCTCTGGCCCTTGCTTGGTAGGGCGCCCCTTCCTGGTCAGACCTGCTGGCTGCGGAGGCCCCGCGGCACCCACATAGAGCAGAGGAACGAGAGCTACAGTGGGCCCTTCGCTGCTTCTCCCAGGCTCCTACCTCCATGGCACAGGGCCTGAGAACTCCATGGCCATCTGCTGTCTGCCACACAGGGGGTCCCACTGCCAAGGCCAACTGCAGAGCTTCAGGGAAGACCCGTCAGAGGGAAGATTTCTATTACCAATTGTTTCTGAAGTTAGTGAAAACGGTCAGCCAAAAAGCAGTTTACAGTTTATGAACTCACACAGCCTGCAGACATAAGGCCCTGCCCCTTCTGACAAGTCATCTCTGCAGCCGGGAGAAGAGACACACAGGTCAAGGCAAACGCACCCTGCAGTGCACTCCGTGGGGGCCCAGTTAGCCCAGGGAGCGCCGACAGATGTTAGCTCGACACGGCACCCGGAGGCCCTGGGCCTGGCACTGCTGGACACACAGAGGGCCGCGGGGCCGCACTGCAGGGGCGGGTGTCCGGCCTTTCAGCATCTCTGGGCCACACTGGAAGAAGAGCTGTCTCAGGTCACACATTAAATACACAAACACTAACAAAAACTAATGAGCAAAAAAGCAGGTGTTAAGTAAATTTACGATTTTGTGTTGGGCCTCATTCACGGCCGTCCTGGGTCTCCCGTGGCTGACGGGCCACAGGTTAAACAGCCCTGCAAGTAAACACCTGCTCTGAAGATGCTCCCTGTCTAGAGGCAGAGTCAGCAGCCTCGGGTTTCACTGCAGGTAGAATGTGGTGAGAGGCTGGTACACATCACCCAGGCCACATCACCCAGGGGTGGGTGCAGGGCAAGTCAGGGACCAACACTGAGGGCACAGCTGCAGCTGAACTGTAATTTATGGGGAAGCTTGAATGGGCTGCGAGTGCTCCAGACGCTGGCTGGGGAGCCCCCGGTTAAGCAAGTCCTTGGTGCCACCTGCTGGACACCCTCCATCACGGCAGCACAGGTGTCAGACTCCAGCTGTGAGCAGCCTTGAGACCCTTCATTTGATTATTTTCTCTCCTCATAGGCTCTTTGTCTACAAACAAATGGCAATTTTCAAAAACAATTAATTGGTTATGCCCGTATGCTGCCCAGCAGGGCTTCTAAATCTGGTTCAGTAAATTCCGGCAAAAAGTAAGTAAGTTTGACATTTTAAGATTCATGGTTTTTCCTCAGGGAAGTGCACTGTTTCTAGTAGGCTTTTGAAAGCTCTCACAATAGCGACAGGGCCTCAATCACTGCTTCTGAGAAACCAGAGACCGAGAAGTCCCCACTAGCCATAGATGTAGCTCTTCCCCCGAAAAACCCTCCTCACGGTTCCTCACAAAGGGGCATAAAACACTAACCCCAGAAACAGAGAAGAATGAGAACCCAGCCACTCCCTGCCCTGCTCGATCCCGCCGTCTGCTCTGTTCTCGGAAGCAAACACACATCTGTCTAACGTAGGAGCCAGTCCTGTTTGGAGACCAAGAAAGCCTATTGTTCCTTTCCTGAATTTAAGACTTAAAAAAAAAATCCTCCAGTATTTTAGAGTTATCCTCTCCCTTGCAGACAACTCAACCTACATAACACATTCTTTCCACCTTTAGGAAAACTAGCAGACTTTCAGAAAACATTTCTAGAAACTACCGGGGCGGCGAAGCAGACCAGTTCAGCGGACTTAAGTCCTGGCTGGGCCACACAGCTGTGAATCATGCCCACCAGAGCCTTCTCTACTGGTCCAGAGAACAGGCAGTAACAACCCCAACACTGCTGATTTCGTAGGGTAGTTACAAAGGCAGGAGGACATGGCTGTTAAAGAAAAAATACTAAGCAGGATCATGAGAAAAACACATGTACCTGCTACAATCAGACACACATACAATACTTGTTTCATTGCCCTGGTAAGACAAAAAAAATCCAAACAAAACGGTTGGAGACATCAAAAGACCAAGTCTTGCCAACCAAGTGAAAGAAAGAAACCGTGACGGGGTGATGAACAGGGAACGCACGCCCAAGAGGACAGAGGAACACGAAGAGTGTGGAGCCACCAGGCGTGGGAGTCGGCAGGAGTGTGGCCAGCCCCTGTCCCGTGTCATCTGGGCAGCCTCTGCAGGCGCGGTGCAGCGGCAAAGCCCCGAAGCCGGTGCCCTCCCACTGGGCCCCTGCTCCAGGCGAGGGGGCGGGAGACAGCCAAGTCACAGTGAAACAAGCGTCATCTTCCCCACTGTCAATTCTACTTGGAGATTTAGGATGGGGGTAAGGAGATACTTAACCAGTAAAATCATTTATTTTTCAATTAAAACAAATAGACATGGAAATGAAAAGATTTGCCTAAAGATAAAAAAGGAAATTTCAAAAAAACAAAATCACTCCCTGATCACTTCAAGTGACACCTCGAGCTCGCTGGAGGCATGTCTCCAACCTCCTGCCCGGGTAGGAACTGGGGAGTTTGGGAAGTGATGCTGCGGGCGGAACCCAGTTGGACACCCTCACGTTACTGCCACGAGCTGTAAAATCCAGGCTCACTCCCTCGTCGGGTCAGTTACAGCGTCCGGGCCAGAGTCGTCAGGTACGTTTCCCTTGTCTGGAGTCAGTCTCCTCTGGAAACATGCACATCAGAGAGCGCACACGGCCGCCCTCAGCTACGATGAAGGGGGTGATTCTGATTAGAGCTGTCAGAGCACTCGCTTCTGATAAAATCACTGCTACTAATGCTCCCTGAGGCTCCCGTTCCCTCGAGTCCTACGATGCCGTGACCCTTTCCTGCATATTCTGAACGACATTTCTGCGTGGCTCTGAGGAAACCTCCTCTTGGCCCACTTTCTGTGGTTTTTGCACACTAGCAAGTATCGCTTGTAACTGCTCTCCGTCCACACTCCCTTTGACTTCCTGGCCCTAAGCTGCTGTGTATGAAGAGCGTAGCAATCACGCTGCAGCCTTCTGAGAGCTTCTGAGAACAATGCTGTGACTAACTGGCAATTCTCATACAAGTACACAGACCTATGTTTGTGCCTCCTCTTCGACAATTTCTAGCTACGTGACTTGGACTTGAGCCCTCAAAACCTCAATTTCCTTACCGATAAAAGAAGGCAACTACTACTTGCATGTAAGGACTGTTGGTGAGGACTGAAAGAGACAGCATGTACGAGGCTACACACACGCTGTGTATACAAGGCCCTCCGTAAGTACCAGTTCATTAGCTTAACTTCCTCCCAGGTATAAACATGGCCTCGGTAGAAAACTAAACACCCTAACTTCTATTAGCTACAGTCTCCTGACATAAGGTTCAGAGTACATTTTTAAATAAGCGGCAAAGGTTAAATGGCTGGACCCGAGAAAACAAAATGCTTCCCGGGCACTCTGAGTGGCCGAACTGCAAGATGCTCCCAAGGAAACAGGGACCAACGGTTCAAAGGCTGATTCCTTCAATGGAGCAGACCGATCTCTGAGGCCAGGCAATGCCGTGTCTCCTTTGTGAGCGTCACTGAATGACAGGGTTGTATCCACAACTGTTTTAGTAGAAACTGCTGGGAAACAGCCTGAGTTTTCTTTTCTGAGTATGTAAGGTTTTCACCACCTGGCCCCGCCCCCTTTCCTCACACAGATGCTCCCACCCAGGGGCGAGCACACTGGTTCTCAGCATGCCTCCTCCTCTTCCTCCTCCTCCTCCTCCTTTGCTCTTCCATGCTCCTCCCATGTCTGTCTGCCTTCACTGCATATAACCCAAGTTTACATGTGCATGTACATACATGCATACATACCAAAGCTCTGGCCCAACTAAATTATTAAAATGGTAGTTATTTTAATATTATCTGAGACAGTTTTCCCAACTTAACTTACTAAGTGATCATATTTCACTTTTAGATATAGACACAGGTATGTGATAATAGATATGCTAAAGATTTTGAGTTTAAAATTTTACCTGAAATCAAGTTCAATCTGAAAAATGCTAAATCAAACAAAAGCTGCATCAGCACAGAGAGAAACTGTTAGTGAAAAATAAAAAATGTAAAAGTAGATGTTACTTTGATACGATTCCAAGAATGGAAAACTGTATGCCTGCCAGAAATAGAGATCCCCATTAACATTCAGCTTCACACACACAGACAAAACACACAAACTCAGT